CGTGCACGGAGGTCTGGTCTGTCACACCCCGGCCTGTCCCTGTGAGACCGGAGGTATCCGGGCGAGGGGGGGTCTAGTCCCGTTCCACACCCGTGGGGCCTGCGGTGTCCCCGGCTGAGAGTCAGACCCGGGCACGGGGGATCGCTCTGCTCCGGTACCGTCCCGTCCCGTCCCGTCAGGGTCAGGTCGCCCCGTGGTGGGCTTGTGCTGGTCCCTTAGGCTGAGCTTAAAACCAGCCGATCCCGGGGGGACACGGGGCGGGACGTGCCCTGATCAGGCCTCAGAGAGGCTGTAATTTCTGTTTTACTGATATCGTGCGTTTTCTCCTGATATTGTGCGTTTCTCCCTTGCCTGTAGGAGGGCTGACGTATGAGCTGAGCTCTCACTATGAATGCTATTGTTGCCCTCTGCCATTTTTGTGAGCTCCACGGTCCTCGCACCCTCTTCTGCACAGAGGTTCTACACTCCCCGCTTCCCCAGGGCGCGAGCAGCGGGGACATCGCTGGGCAGAATGAGCAGGCAGAAGAGGAAGAAGGTGGCATTCAGATGAGCAGTCGGATCCGCTCTCACAGCCCAGCAGAAGGTGCCAGCGCCGACTCCAGCAGCCCAGGGCCAAAGAAATCAGACATGTGTGAGGCAAGTGTGAAGCTCTGTGTGCAGACAGCAGCTTAACTAAAGGGCTCTTGGAATCTCTGATGCAAATTGAATTGTTTAAGAGATTTAAAAAAACCCCGCCAAACTATGAAGTGTACTTGTTTTGTACGTGACTGCTAGTACCAGAAGACCTCCAAGTCCTCATAAACTGTAAAGATCCTTGACAAGAGGATGAAGGAGTTGTTCTTCAGTACATAGACCTTGACAAGGTGGTATCTTGAGGTCTCTAATCCCTGTGATCTATGATACTCTTGTTGGCCAAGAAATGCTTTCCTCATCCTTGAAGAGCATTTACTTTATTAGATTAGATCTGATCATTTATTAATAGTCATTTTAATAGCAGTATTGATTAGGAAACAGACAAAAAAAATGCAGAGGCAGTTAAAACAACAGAGCAAATGTATGTTCTGAGTTGTTCTCATGCTTCCCTACTTTTAGTACTTGTTCTGAGGTGTTACTTGCTGTTCCATAGGTGATGGTCAGTTTTGTTAGGCCGGTTGGTTTCACAGGTGCTGTTAACTGAATTTTACCTCTTGTAGAGCCAGCACCAAGTTCACAGTCAGGTTAAATAGTGGAAAATCATAGAATCATAGAATGGTTTGGGTTGGAAAGGACCTTAAAGCTCATCCAGTCCCAACCCCCCTGCCATCAGCAGGGACACCTTCCACTAGACCAGGTTGCTCAAAGCCTCATCCAACCTGGCCTTCAACACTTCCAGGGAGGAGCAGCCACAGCTTCTCTGGGCAATCTGGGCCAGTGTCTCACCACCCTCACACCAAAGAATTTATTCCTAAAATTGAAGCATAAAATGATAAAATAAGCATAAGAGCAGAGGAAGTAGATCACACAGAGTTCCATGGGAGGTGCTGGGTTCAAATCCTAACCCTGACTCGTATTTCTTGTCTTCTAAGTATTTATCTTCTTATCTCTGGGTGCAA